ATCCTTCTTTATTACGCTTTCTGAAAAAAACTCATCTCACAAACTTACATATTGGCCTAAACATTTCATTCAGTTCTTAATATGAATCAGACAAGGTTTTCAACTCTGCAGTTTACCTCCTTCAGTTCATCCTCCCCTGTTCTCTGTTTTACCCTCAGCCTTGTTTTGTATGGTTCAGTGATCCAATTGTTTTCTTAACCAGGACTGACACTGTCAGTGAGATGCCACTGCACGAGCCTTAGTATCAGGTGGTTTGAAGTATTTTTTGTCTTGACATTTGAGTTATGGATTGTTACTTTAATACCACTGGTGCTATAAATAGATGCATGTTGTCTCATCCTTATTATTGCATACCTCTCCAAGAGCATTTGTTATGCATCTTAGTGTGTTACGCTTCTATGTACAATGTTTGCATGTTATTGTAGTTACCGTTTATCGGGGAAACTTGGTGTAGGCAATAATGTGATAATTACTGTAGCAATTACCTTTATGTAGTGGTTTTCCTTTTCCAGGAGTACAAAGTTTCCAATTTTGAGCAAAGACTAATGAGTGAGATTGAGTTTCGTTTGGAGCGAACACCAGTGGAGGAGTCAGATGATGAGGTACAGCACGATGACATCCCGACAGGAAAATGCATCGCACCACTGTTTGATAAGAAACTAAAGAGCTTTAAGGTCTTGGAAGGTTTGCCTGTCACATTCTCATGTAAAGTAGTGGGAATCCCTCCACCAAAGGTGAGAGGTCGTCATCTGTACTATGCAAACAATAGCATGATCTTTCACTGTCACCCCTCTCATTTATCATTCACATATGTGCCTCTCATCAGGTTTACTGGTTCAAGGATGGCAAACAAATATTGAAGAACAATGTCCATTACAAGAAGATAAGAGAGGGGGATGGGACCTGTGCTTTACACATAGAGTATGCAACCAGTGATGATGATGGCAATTACACCATCATGGCAGCTAATCCACAGGTAATACTTCACTCTGTTTGCTGTTCATCTTCTGTCTTGCTGCATCATCTGATTTACTTGTTGTGTGTTTGCTACTTGATGATTGTCAGGGACGAATCAGCTGCTCGGGTCATTTGATAGTCCAAATGGGACCTTTCAGAAATCGACTGATACCTATTCACTCTCAAAGGTGAGCAGGACTGAGTGTGTAGTGTGGTCTGCAGAGATAAGAAGAATCCCTCTGTAGCATACCAAACCTCCTCTTCAATAATAATATTTTAGCATAAATTTACTTTGTCCTCCACGTATTATACTAATATTTAAATGAATGGTTTAGAACACAAAATAATGTAGTTGTATACAGTTATAAGCACCTTTATAACTTTTTATTGATGTGTAGTATTTGTCAGCAAATATAACTTATCCTATGAAGACATATTTTATATTATCACAACTGTTTTTGACTATATTATCATTATATAACAAGTTTAGCTCACTTCTTTATGTCCTCAGGGTGCGAGCCCGTATACAGGAAGTAGAAGGTGATCAAACACAAGAGCACTTTTTTCGGCCTCACTTCCTCCAAGCCCCTGGTGACATACTGGCTCATGAGGGAAAGCTGTGCAGATTAGACTGTAAGGTAGGCAGCAGGACCTGGCATGAAATGCAGTCAGTAAAATACTGCATTTTAGCCTCATCTTACTGTCAACATTTGTTTCATAGGTGAGTGGACTCCCCAACCCAGAGCTGATGTGGTTGGTCAACGGAAGACCAGTCTATCTAGACCTTTACCACAAGATGCTGGTGCGAGAGAATGGCATCCATTCTTTAGTCATTGACCCTGTGATGCATAAGGACGGTGGCACATACACCTGCATTGCGAGCAACAAAGCAGGACAGAGCTCCTTTAGTCTAGAACTGAAAGTTGTGGGTAAGCAACAGATACAAAGATGAACCCTTTTTTAAGATGGCAAAAAGGAATTCATTATTTGTTTGTCATTTGAATACTTTAGTGTTACAACCCATGTCATGTCTGGAAGTCCCACTAATGTAGGTTATGTCCACTGTAGAGAAAGCGATGAAGCATCCTCCCCACTTCGTGGAGAAGCTGCAGAACATGGGGATTCCTGAAGGAACTCCAGTTAGACTGGAATGTCGGGTGGTGGGCATGCCTCCTCCAGTCATCTTCTGGAAGAAAGACAATGAGACCATTCCTAGAACGAAGGACAGATTCATGTTAGTAGGAGCCTCCTCTTGTAGCTGTTTCAGCACCATGCTTTAAACCATAATAGTTTCCAAGATTGGTATTGGAATGAGTTCTCCATTATGTGTTTATTTCAGCATGACCCACGATCCCACAGGATATGTGTGTCTCCTTATCCAGCCAACAAGAAAAGATGATGCTGGCTGGTACATGGTTTCAGCAAAAAATGAGGCTGGAATTGCATCCTGCACCTGCAGGCTTGATATCTATGGTAAATATTGTGCATAGGTGTGTAACTATCAGCTTTATTCAGAAATGTGCCATATTTTCAGCTTATCTGCATCTTCAGCACAGTGGCATCAGAGCATCCCTGCACCCATGAAGACAACTCCACGCACAGGCAGCCGCTATGCAGCTCTGACAGGTCAGGGGCTTGACATCATGTCAGCTTTCCCCACTTCAGAGACCAGCCCCATTCTGTTCTCCAGCTCCCCTCCTGAAGCCCTGCTGGAGAGTGAGGAGCTGTGAGCTGTCTGCAGACTCCCCCGGAGGCCTCCCAGCCTGCGACTCCCTGACGCCAAAAGAGAAGAAGGCGAAACATTGAATGATTATCAGAGCAGACTGTCATGTGATTTATGTGGTGCATTTGAAGTGATATATTAAAAATCAAATCAGGGGCGATTCTAGAAAATTTTGGACAAGGTGGCCAGGCTGGGGCTCAGACTCAGACAGGGGTGGTACATTTGAAACATGTAAAAAAGTAAATTAAACCTCTAGTTTTATGAATTCATAAACCATGCATCACTACAAATCAATTTATTTTGTGTAAAAATCACACACACACATCTTTAGCTACCTTTGGCTGTGCTCCTTATTTACTCCCGGCTGGGGACATCGCTGCTGCACAGTGGCTCATCACTCTTGAAACGAATCATGCCAGGTACTCCACAACAACACAATCAGAGAAATTAATGCAAATATCATGCTGCATACATAATCCAAAATATAACTAATTTGACCAGTATCAGTGATAAAGCACCAGAAAAATGTTAGTTGTCATTGTTTTTCATTTTTCATTCATTTACACTGACTCTGGAAGGGGGTGGCACTAGGGGGTGGCAAATCAGACTCTGGGGGTGGCGGGTGCTGCCCTCTGGCTCCGCCCGTGAATAGAATGGCAAAAAAATAAACTGACCATGGGTTTGTCACCATTCCTATTTACTCAAGTCATATGATGAGTGTGTCACATACAGACAAATAACAGATTTGTAAAGTCTTAGTTCATGAGTCCTTAGTGGAGTTGAATGTTGTTCTTTGGCAGGTTTAAGTGATTCACGTTTGTTTGTTTTTTTACATCATATTTAGCTACAATGATGAGGTTGATGTTCAGTAAATGATATCTGTTCTTAATTGTTAGTCCTGTCCTCAAAGTGGTACTAGCAACACCTCTTTTTATTGCATATCATAAATACATAATAGTTTCTTTTAAAGTTTATAAGTTATTGTTTACTAAATGTCAGAGCTAGTTTAGAGGAGTTTAACAGACATCTGAATGTGCCATTTAGGTCATTTTAAATGGCTCCAGCAAGTTTGGATTCCTTCTACATTTCACTAAAATATTTCTTGGTGTCTGTCACTGTTTCACATTTTCACACCATGTTTTTCATGTGCATGTCAATGGCTGATGAATATTTAGACTGGCTAAAAAACACACACCATGTCTGCTCACAGTCAGAATAATAGTATGCTGTTAGCTGAAGTTAATTCATGGTGTGTAGCTGAAAAACCTTTTTTTTTTTTTTGCTTTCAGGTGACTAAATTCATCTTTGTACTGACAAAGATTTGTCTCATTGCATCTACAGTTCAGGATGTATTATCAGAGGAATCGGTTAAATTAGACTAAAAAAATTCCTGGGTTTGTTTTGTGATAAGTCAGACTGTTGACTTTGACCAAATTTTGAATTACTGAATTTTAAAATAAATTCAACTCAGTTTGAAAACATACTGAAGTTTCAAAGCACATACTCAACTGATGTAAAGTTGCACATTGTAAAATAGTTTTGTCCTTCTCAGAATAAAGTTATATTTATTCAATTTGGAGATGTTTGCTTTGCTGCAAGAAGGGGCCATGTATGCATGCTGCACAGACAGCACCTAAAATCATTCTGCTCACTTTTGACCATCTGATGAAATTTATCTCATACTTGACATGAAAATAATTCATATTTTAGAATATTACACTCATTCAAAGGGGGAATGGGGCAGTGGGTACATTCCTCCTGTTGTTACTGAAGCTTGCTATGCCTGTTTTTCCTGTTTGCTTAAATTAATGCCAATCCAAACCAAACAGGAAACCTCAGAAGCCAGTTAAACACTGTTAATCAGTCCAATTAGAAGGGAAGAGAGTTCAAATAGGCAGAAAATGACCTTCACCTTATGTGACCTGATTCTACTCAAAGCCTCATCTGACCAGCTGCCAGACCTACTTGTTAACTGGTTGCTGGTTGATTGGCTAAAGAGTAAATGTCTTTGGGCTTAGTTTTTGATTTTATTATTTTAAGTTTGTAACCCTCAATCTTATTTTTTATTTCTAATTTCATTCAGCACTCATAGCTCACCGATATTGACTATTGCAATAATGATTCAAATAGTTTTATGTGTACTCAACTTACTTGTTGCAGTATTAACATAATAGTAACAGTACTGTTTTAAGTTCCATTACTTAAATTTGTTACAAATGTCTAAGCCAAAAGTATTAGTACACGTCTCTTTAAAGAATGAGCTTATTCACACTGCTTGCTTAAAAGTAATCCTGTGAGTGTAATGACATTTATACAGCTAAACCACACATGCACAGAGAATCCTTTTTTATACTTTCTCCTGGACTGAAACCTACACCCCTGTGCATTAATCTCCATAAGGAGATCTGGATTTCTGAGGGTACATGTTTCTGTCAGAGTAGACAGGTCGCTCCTCAACAGTAGCATATGGCTTTTGGCAGAGGGTATGGCTCAGCCACTGGTGCTCAGACAAGCCAATCATGTGTGAGGTTACCAAAAGAAAGAAAAAAAAACTAACTGAAGACACGAAAGGGCTGGGGCAGGGCTGGGGAAGGTCTGAGACAACGCCCTCAGATAAAACGCAGCAGCTGGCAAACTACATCAATCTGTAATCAGTGAACCAACTGGTAGATGGGATTATATGCCTAATTGCACAGCTAACCACTCCATCCCAGAATGACCAGACAGCATCATCTTGTGTGCATGGTGCATGACCAGAGATGGGCATTTTTCTAGGCCTCTATGATTAATCATTCATAACCTGTGTCTATAGCCAAGCTTTGAGTTTGTCAATATGCAGGAGCTGCGTGTCTGTCCCGACAAAGATGACACCAGGAATAAAGCAGCAGGGGTGAAAGAAATATTATGCTCCTTTACTTAAAGTAAAACTAACAATACCATGGTGCAATTATTGGATTACAGATATATTTTACTTAAAAGTACATCACTGTTATTCAGTCTATTTAAGTATGAAATGTGCTCCTTATGCAGAGTTTTTGCAATGCAAAATTAATATTCCAACTACACATATATGGATTAAACTGCATTTTAATTTTGCACCTTAATTTTAACTAAGTTGTGTAGGTTGGGTAGTTTGTAACAACATATATTTTACAAGCTTATTATTATGTATGTAAAAATTTTTAATCGGCAACGCAACAGTAAACACACAATAAAAGGTTACACTATTTCTCTACAGTAGAAGTATAAAGTTGAATAAAATTTAAATACTCAGAGTATAATTGTACTCAGTAATTTACAAGAAATCAGTCAAATTCTGTGCATCAGAATAAAACTGCAGCAGCAAGTGAATGTGATTGAAAGTACAATGGAGAGATCATTCTTTGAATTTAAATGAGAATAAAGGCAAAGTGTGCTTAAAGAGTGGCTTCTGGGCGGCAGTTGTAACTTTTTGGAGTGTGTCTATTGAAGGAGAGTCATTTTTCCCAAATTACACACTTTAATGCTGGCAGATGGGAAGAACAGACAGATACATTAGTCTTCTTTTTTTGGACCACTACACAAATCAATAATTTATTTCACATACATAAACAACTTTAATGCATCCCACATACTGTGATTCATTAGGACCACAGCGCTGATAAACACCCTAAACACTAATTTACCTTCAAGAATTTTTTAGAGAATTTTAATAATTATACACCAACACTCATACTGCTGTTCAAACCCCATATGAGGCAATAATCTGTTCACCATCTTGGCCCATATTGTTTGAGAGCCATAACCCTCTTATGTGCTGTTAAAATCCCTCAGGTTAAAGACCACACTTACTTACTTCTGTTGCCTCTGGCTAATCTCAGATTATGGTTATTATCACATGGAGAACAGTTACATGAGCAGTGAAAGGGAGCTTCTTGGTGCCTTATGTAATTTAATACAACTTAATGGACTTGTAGCCAAGGAGTTTCCAAAGACTTCATATTTAAATGATTAATAAATGTGATATTAAATTGTTACACCTACAGATCTAAAAAATTGATTAATTAAAAAATAAAAAATATTACATTTCATTTCTTTAGTAGAAATGAAATCAAATTTAATTAAAATGACCCTGGTGCCTTTAATGCCATTTTGGCAAAGTTTATGATGTGATTTATTTATTTTGATAATATCTGATGGTAATTATTTAGCATAATTTGTCAATATTGCATTTAATTTAAATCTTAATAGTTCAGTCCTTAAAAGTTAACTACTGTGTTTATATTGACTTTACATAATTACTAAGATATGTTGAACAGAGAATTATCCACAGTTTTAGCCTTTAAAAGTTTATTTACTCACCAGCTCTGGTGAGCTGACCTACCAGATGGCAGCCTTTTGGTGTTTGTGACACATGGCTTTGAGTGAAGCCATTGCTAGATAGCCCAGCCCAAGATAATTGGAATTTCATTAAGGTTTTGTGTGGGCATATATATGCTTGTGTGTGTGTCTGGGTCTTCGTGTGTGTGTTTCTACATGAGTGATATTGAAGATGGAGTGGGGAGGGCAGGGACTCCACCTGCTGCCACATGTTCCTCTGCTCCATCTTATAAAAGCTGCTCCTTCATAGTCTCCAGGATCACAGACACCTTGGACTCTTGAGGCTGTACATTATCTGGATTTACACATATTTGACAGTGAACCCAAAGACTGGACACACAGGTTGGGTATCAGCCAGGCTGTACCAACAGGGAGACCTCTGAGGAACCCAGAAACTGAAACATCTCTGATAAATCTGTTGATTAGCGGCTGAGTCTTTCTGATCTGAGAACAAGTTTGATTCTTCACTAAACATCATGAAGTCCCGTCGACCTAGCTGCACTGATTCTGGATCTGAGTCCTCAGAACTGGATTCCAAGAGCCCAGAGAAATTTGAAACTGTCACAAGACGACGGATAGCTGCCAATGCCAGAGAGAGGAAGAGGATGCAAGGTTTGAACACAGCCTTCGATCGCTTACGTAAAGTGGTCCCACAGTGGGGCCAAGACAAAAAACTGTCCAAGTATGAAACTCTGCAGATGGCCCTCAGCTACATCGTGGCCCTCAGCCGGATCCTGACAGACGCCAAGAAGCACAATGTTCCTCACAGGCAGTGGCTGGAACTGCAGTTTGACTGTGTGCAGCCTGAAAACTACTCCTGCCTCATGAGGTGCGACTCTGCAACTGCACAGGAGTACATCCACTCGTTGCCCTCTTATCAGTTTGACGGATGTCATGGCCTCGCATAAACTGCAGCCATGTGGTGAATGGTCAGTCATGTGACAATGCAAATAAGATTTCTTCTAGTCTGGGAGACAGTAAATACATTTGTATTGCATTACTTTCTCTAGGTAACCCAGCAATGCTAAGTATCTTTTTGTTCAAAATATGATTATGAAAGAAATTTAGTGTCATTATAATGACAATTAGATCGTACTGAAGATGCAGGAAATGGTGTATTGTTATCAGTTACTTTGATACAGCCCTAAAATGTGTAATTTTCAGTGAGAAGATCATTGGTCTTAGTTGCATAGTTAAAATCAATATGTAACTATTTTGTCAAAGTGTAATTGCATATTTGTAGAGTTGAAAAATAGATGTAATTTTACCTCTATTTTGTTGAATTATGGTTTTGATCAAAATTAAAACCATTTATATGAAAAGCATTCTACTTCTTCAGTTTTCTGAAGAATTCTTTGAATTATTTTAACTGCACAATGCTGATTCTTTGTTGCAATTTTTTTAATTCTCAAAAACATATGTGCAAAATACAAACCTGACATACATGTTAAATTTGTTTTAGAGCACAATTGTACATTTTTCATTAAAATACAATTTTGTAATTAGAAAACTAGGTATTTAAACCTCATAATCTTACTTGTCCCCTTTGTTGGGTATTAAATCAAGACTTATCACAGCGAGCGAGTAGTTTCCAGCACATTCTTTGTTCTGTGTGTGTCCAGTTCTCAGCAGTAGTGAGGCAGGTCTGCCACATTGCCTCACTCTGCCTCATAGGGAATAAATCAGCCTTTTGTCCAGAGCTCCTGTGTTCTGAGATAAGATGCTGTTACGTCAGTGGGGAACCCGGGTATAAACATGTAAACAAATTCATTTTTAGGACTAATTACAATCATTTAACAATAGTATTCTCAATTTTTCTTTAAAAAAACATCTTATAGAGTTTAAAAGTATTCATTTCATTCAACTTGTGTACAATATAAGTTGAGAAAACCAGAATGCCAAATGATCTGAGACTGTCTGTTGTTGGAGCCACACAGCTACAAATGTAAATGGCAATCATCACCCACTGACAGCAGATTAAGGAAGCCTGTGTGCCAGATCTTGTCACAGTTTCAGCGAGGGGGCAGAAATTAAACTCTTTTGTGTGGTAATGGCTGTGTGTAATCGCTCTGTTCAGAGCCACTAAAGCATGAACACCCATAGCTGGACCTGAACTCTATCTGCATCAAGTGAAAGACATCTTACAGCAGTACAACATGCAGTGTACTGTCAATCCGCTAATACACTATTCACATCTCATTAGCCTGCAGTTGATTTGGATGGTAATATTTGAGCTTACTGTTATTTTTAGAACATTTTATATTCCAGTCTTTTTGGTTTAACACCAAACAGCTGCACAAAATAAACACACAAAACATACAAAGATAAAACAGGTAAGTAGATATCATATACTGCATTATAGAAAACAAAAATTTTATATCGATAAAGTAAACATTAGTTTATCTGCATAACTAATTATTGATTTTTAGCCAAGAACACTTGAATGCAACATGTTAAATGCTGCGCGGGGCTTGTTGGGAGACTTGGACAGGACAGGGTTTCTAACACTGATACAGATGGTCATAACAGTTCATATGCCACATTGAATGTTTGCATACCTAATAAACATTTTTCTGACAGCTGGGATGTCAAACATGAATAGATGGCAGAGTGTGGAATAGTAATGAGGCTGAGACATCAGCAACACTGCAATTGCGCTCTATATTAATTTAGTCACAAGTGGTGAACACTTGGTGACAGATTATACTTCCTCAATAGGAGTGTGCTTGATGAGTTGTTAATCAATAGTGACATCAATGTGCTCAGCATGGAAGTAACTGAGAGGGGCAAAACAAATTAAAATATAATTAAGTGCTGAATTATTCAGGCTTCAAACCTGGATGGATGCTCTCACTTCCAACAAATTAAAGGGCAGATGTTATAAAGATCTTCACTAGAGACTTTAAAAAAAAAAATCACATTCAGCTCGGTTTGAAAGAGGGTTGCTAGTGAGGGCAGCAGGTGATCTCTAAACAAATTGTTATCATTTGTATTCTGATGACATTATTTTATTTTACCAAATGCATTGCCTATTGTTAAAATGACATATTACATATTAGAGGCACCTGGCAACTGAAAGTATAATCAAATCTAAAAAGGCTAAAGACTAGATATGAGCTCCTGTTGGTTGAGGGGTAAGATTATACCACTTAGCAAAATAAAGTTTAACGTGAAGTAAGTATTTGGTGAACCCTTGCTGAAGTGTCCATGTGCATACAAGCCATGAACAAAAGTACTCCCTTTGTGTGTTTTAACCAGGCCTCAATCTATAAAAGCTCCAGCAGATGACCAGCAGCTCCTCCCTCAACAAAGCTTATGTCATCCACTCCTTATAATCATCCCTCCTGCAGGTGTTCAGAAGCTGCCCACACTGCTCTGCTGAAAGACTTTTTCGGATCTAAATACTAGCAGGCTGTACAGAGAAACACAGGTGTCTAACAGCATGAAGTGCCTGAACAACCGGGCTGAGAGCCATCTAACCGGGCAGGTAGAGTGTGAGCTGGACAACATGGGCAAAGGGGGCTGGGTGAACCATGGCTACTGTGGCTCTCCTCCGCCCCTGCCCCGACCTGTCAACACCATCTACAACCCTCAGCCCCTCTATCAGAGCTCCATGGACAGCATGTACAAAGTGGATCCCCCTGGCCTGTTCCACCATCCACCAGAAGAACCATCATCCACTGGGCAAAGTCTGGTGAAGAAACAAAGAGGCTGCTGTGCTTTTATCAAAGGTAGGAACACATTCTGCTGAATTTATCACAATATTTCTGCTCTGAAGATCAACTGAACAATAGTTTCATGAGTATGGAAAAACAGTGTCACCTGACAAAAAGTGTTTTTTTTTTTGCTTTTTTACCCTGGAGATGTTGCTGGACAGTGATTAAGTCTATGCTGGTATGCTTTATCCTTAAACATCAATTAATGCCCACTCCTGGTTAAACCTCTTGGCTTAGGCCTGATGATAGGTCTTTACAAACAACCTCGCCTACAAAAATTGTGTCATAATTGCATAATTACACTGATATTTTCTGTAGGTTTGTGGGGCACAACACTGACTGAAAACACCGTGAACAACAAGGAGCTGTATGTCAAAACCACGCTGCGGGAGCTATTTATCTACCTGGTGTTCCTGGTAGACATATGCCTGTGTAAGTGTTCCACTCATGCCATCCAAAGTTTTTGCCTAGCATTATCTTAGAGATTGTTTGGAATCAATACTGACTCCAAAACTATGTTCAGTACTTCCACTCCAGTAGTATTTCCGAGTAATTCTTTGCACTTCTCTTATGCATGACCTACAGAATGTTTTTTCTACATTTAGTTGTTTTAAGGAAGTTGTGATACTTAAATACAGTTTACACTTACCTAAATATATTCCTGGATTTTATTTACCTGGTGAAATGCATTCCATTGTCAGGCAAGCATGGAAATCCAAATACCCCAAATTTTTACTTCTCACAAATTAATGATCCAGAGGTACAAAGGATTTAAATGTGTCCTTGGGTTTGGTTAATATATTTCAGGCACCTACATGTTTTAAGCTATGCTGATTACTTGTTGAACCATTTGGCAGGATGTTACTGTATAGAGCACTTTACATTGTTGATTTACCATCAAACCCTCCACCCTGCTTTAATGCCTAACACAAATGCCCTTCCCATCCCACTGCCTAAAATCCATTGTCCAGCTGGGCATTTGGAGTGAAAGGGACATGGGCTCTGCTCTCTTGCTTTTCAGTGATAAGAACATTAGGCCTCATCCATTGTTGCTTTGTCTGAGTTAGATTTACATTGTTTGATGAGGCTATTTGCATCAGACCAGTGTGCTCTCTCTTCAAACAAATTACAGCCTCTAATCTATTTGACTGCAGCGACATAACAACAAGTCTTCAATGATGCTTTGCATGTCTGCTTCTGAGCTGTCTTATCTTAGACCGCTGAATGGAGCAACATTTAGAGCTGAGCCTGAGCAAAGCCAGATAGGAATCCATGAGTGGGCATTAACAATGTGATTACATTGTCTTTCAGTGACATACGGTATGACCAACTCAAGCGCCTACTACTACACCAATGCCATGACGAACCTGTTTGTGAACACCCCTAGTGATAATGGGGTTAATTTTGGGTCCATTGGCTCCATGGCTGACTTCTGGACTGTAGGTTTTCCTCCATGTTCACCACAGTGAGTAGCATACAGAGGAAATTTTATATTTGTCTTTCTCAAACAGCACCTGGCTTCTCTTTATATGAACAGTTTGCCCAAGGTCCATTACTAAGTGGCCTCTACTGGACTAAATGGTACAATAACCAGTCCCTGGACCATGGAGACCAGTCCTATATCTACTATGAGAACATGCTACTGGGAGTTCCCAGAATGAGGCAGATTAAGATCAAGAACAACTCCTGCAAGGTCCCCAAAGATTTCCAAGAAGAAATCATGGAATGTTATGCTGTTTACAATGAAAAGAAGGAGGATGACCTTAGCTTTGGTCTCATCAATGGCACCGCGTAAGCTACTCACTGCTTTTGTTACAGGGACACTATCACAAACAAGAACTGCAGCAAAACTATGTTTACTTAAATTATTTTTATGCTCCTTTGTACATCTGCAGCTGGACCTACCACACAGAGAAAGAGATCAAGGGTTCCTCGTACTGGGGCTTGATAGCCACCTACAGTGGAGCAGGATACTATCAAGACCTGGGTCGGACCAATGATGAGAGTGCCAAAATACTAACAGAACTGCAGGACAACCTTTGGCTGGACCGAGGAACCAGAGTAGTCTTCATTGACTTCTCCACTTACAATGCAAACATCAACATGTTCTGTGTCATTAGGTAAAATGCACATTAATAGCAGCTTTTGCGATGCAACTTTTTGGTTGGCTCATCCAATGACTGACCAAAGTTTTATCTACATCTTTCAGCTTGGTGGTTGAGTTCCCAGCGACTGGGGGAGCCATCTCTTCCTACCAGATCAGAACAGTCAAACTGATTCGCTATGTCACCAGCTGGGATTACTTTGTCCTTGGCTGTGAGATGGTTTTCTGCTTATTTATCATCTACTATATTGTGGAGGAGATTCTGGAGCTTCAAATACACAAATTCTCCTATTTCAATAGCATCTGGAACATATTGGATATTGTTGTCATATTGGTGAGAAAATGTTATTCTTGATTCCAACAAGTCATTTTCTCTGATTTGGCTTGCCTTCTAATATTTAAAATCATTCTCCTTCCTAGCTTGCCGTTGTTGCCATTGTATTCAATGTTTTCCGAACTGTCAAAGTGGACAATCTACTTGGCAAACTTCTAGAACAACCTAATATGTATCCTGATTTTGAATTTCTGGCATTCTGGCAAACACAGTTCAACAACATGAATGCAGTGAACTTGTTCTTTGCTTGGATCAAGGTAAAGCACTCCAACACATTGCTCAGGATAATGATCTGGCTCTGGCATTATCACAAAGAATGTTTTCTTCTTGTCACTGTAGATTTTCAAATACATCAGCTTTAATAAGACCATGAGTCAGCTGTCCTCCACACTGGGTCGATGTGCTAAAGATATCCTGGGATTCGCCATCATGTTCTTCATTGTCTTCTTTGCTTATGCTCAGCTTGGATATTTGCTCTTTGGAACAGAGGTTCAGTCCTTCAGCACCTTTGTCAAGTGCATGTAAGAAAACAGCACTCAGGAAGGAAAGATTTATAAAGGATGTCTGAGCATCAACTAATCAGTTATCTTCCTTTTTGTCTTCCTGTAGCTTCACACAGTTTAGGATTATTCTTGGAGACTTTGATTTTGATGCTATCGACAATGCTAACAGAGTTCTGGGACCGATCTACTTTGTCACCTATGTGTTCTTTGTTTTTTTCGTTCTGCTGGTAAGTCATTTTGTTATGTAAAAATTTGTTTTAAAAGGATAACCATGAGCAGTCTCATTATTTCTTTACATATTTGTCCTTCAGAACATGTTTCTGGCCATAATAAATGACACATATTCTGAGGTTAAGGAGGAGCTCTCATCCCAGCAGGATGATCTGCACATTACTGACATCATCAAACAGGTAAAAGTTTTCAATGTAATGTGAAAACAGATACATCCAGGAATACAGTTTCACAAGAGAAACAAGCAATGATTTTTTTTCTTGTGACCAGAGCTATATGAAAACATTTATGAAGTTGAAACTTAAAAAGGAGAAAATATCAGATGTTCAGAAGGCCCTACGGTCTGGATCTGGAGAAATTGAATTCAAGGACTTCAGAGAAACTCTGAAAGAGTAAGTGGCAATATATCAAAAAGAAGAGCATAATTTCAGTATTGGACCCGATCCTCACCACTCTGGTGGTCTTGTAGGATGGGACATGCTGATCATGAAATCACTGCAGCCTTTTCACGATTTGATCGTGACGGCAACCAAATTCTAGACGAAGAAGAACAAGAGAAGATGAAAATGGAGCTGGAGCAAAAAAGGGTTTGTAGAATACACGGTGATAAATAAAAGGAAGATAAATGCTATATATTCATGTCATTTTCATACTTTTACCTCATTTCTTCTTAAACTGAACAAGCAATTAAAATAACTAAGAATAAATGAAAACAAAGTTGTGTATTAAGGATGTTTTTTTCCATTTTTTGTCAGGATGCTCTTAATGCTGAAATCAACAATCTTGGAATTAATTATGGGAAATAGTTACTGGGGAAGCCTCCTATAACCCCCAGTGAGCAGAAGAACCACTCTAATAAAACATTTGTGGACTGGGACCAGTTTCAAAGGTGGAAGATACATTTACATTTAACCTAGGAGATGTCTTGAAGTACCTATTGGGCTATTCATATAAGAGTATTGATCTTTTTTTAACCAATAACAGAATTACCTTTCTCTCACCATGTAAGAATGGGAGGACAGGTTCTCCATCTTGAACGTACTGTGGCAGACATCACATGCAGGGTTGAGTTGATCATGGAGAAACTGGGATTACAAGAAAAAGCCAAAGGAAACAGAATGGCAGGGAAACTGTCTGCAACAAACAATAATGTGAGTATGGAAATAGGTTTAAACTATTCTTAAAACCTTACTGTATGCATCAAATGCTTTGTTTTTTAATGGAAGACTAACCAGCGATGTGGCATCGCCTTATAAATATTTGGGATTATCAATTAATGGAGCACACTGTAAAAACTGTAATATAATAGAGCTGTACTATGAGGAAAAATGTCTACTTTTTTAATTTAAACATTCCAGCAAATTAGATGAGACCTTCCTTTCTTTTTTATTCTCATAATTACAAAATATTTCATGTTCATGTTCAATTACTCCTATCAAGGGTGATGAAACTGCCTCAGATGGGAGCGTCCTGGTTAGTGTGGACAGAGGGACAAAGGCAGAGATATCATCCAGGAGACCAGTACTGTAGTTCACCCCGACTGTCAAATGTGAGAGGCCTCCAAGAAACAGAATCATGGGTTATCTCAAAGTCAGCGGATGCACAAGGATGCGTGGGTCACTCGCCAACAATGTTTTGTTCACTGTGTTGTTCACAACTTTCTAGTGTTCTAAGGTTACTTCAGTTTGAAAACCTCAACTAGACAGATCAACAATAAACTGATAGAATGAGTTACACAACCATTTTATGGAAATATATAAATACTGTATAAATGCATTTTTGAAATTCTCTGCTTACTAGCTAATTGCACTAGAGCTAATATAATAAACTGGTTAAGGTTTATGCCCAGAAATATTTAAGACTATATGTACACTGATTATGCTCAATACTATTCATGTAGATGAGACCTGAGGGTACATCTACATATAGTGTTGTGTAATATATTTCATGAGTAGGTTAGAAAAATAGTTATGCAATATAATTCAATATTAGGCAGTATATTTGCCAGTTAACATCCAAGTCCATGTTTGCTTTGCTATTAGTGTTTATAAATGTTGAAATTCTACTACAGCCAATCAAAGTTTGCAGTTTAGTGAAATTATCAACATAATATTTACCAAGCAGATGTATACATTTATACAGTATGGTTCAATAATTATTCATCACCTTTGTCCACCTCCTTTGCTGCCAAAAGCTCAGGTTATAACAGAGTAGATGTGATGAATAACAATGTCTACAGCTCTCTATTCAAACCATATTTTCATTAAATACAACCTGGATGTGGCATACATTATCCCTGGATGTTTTTAAATAATGTGTGCTGCTATCATTCACGTTTCATATTTCCCTAAATTAATGCAAACAAAAAAGGTAGAAAGGTTAGTGAGTATATGTTCAGAAAAGACGTGCTGTTTTACATTCAGATGGTACAAACCTCAATGTCACTTTAATTGTTACATGTCATTTACTGTCTGGTAGAACTACTGAGAAGACATCAATTTACAGTAAATTTATGCTTTGTCAGAATTCTCTGTATAAAGCATAATTTAATGGGGTCTAATAAATGTACTGAATGACAAGGTTCAAATGTTGCTTTATTTAAAGTCACTTAAGGGTTTTTTCCATTATTGGAAAACCAACTTAACCCTTTATTATTAAACATCAATTCTGTTCAAATTACACCTATTATTGTCATCAAAGCAAATTTCCATTACAATCAATATTTTAAGCAACAAATAGATTACGTCATAAGCGTGGAGGTCAAGCTGAAATATCACCTGCTTCCTGCTACGTCTTGAAAATGGCACACAAATTTAAAAAAGGGAGAATCCACGGTGGAAAAGATTTCAGATCTGTAATGGAGCCTCTGAAAATAATACAAAATTTGTATATACCAACACATTAATTAAGGCTTATTCATAAATTATATTGCTGAAATTTAATGATGGCATTTCATAATATTCTACCTACAGTATTTACATCAATTCTTAAATTCCATGATCTAGGTTTATATTTACACCCTCAGCCAACATGACCATGTTACATGAACACCCCCCAGGCCTAATAAACAAACAAAAACATTATCCAGTTTGCTAGCTCGTACAACAGGCAAAACAGAGTGAGTATACAAGGAGTGTAATACACTCTACAGAATGTCATATATGTAAATGAAATCCAAATGACAGGACACCTTTGAGAAATCCCCTTACCACAATTTGCCACCAAATTTTAAAATAGTTTACCTGGGATATAAATGGAATTTTTCTGTAAATACTGAGAGAATTCAGAGTGCACAGACGGGCAGAAAAGCCACTTGTTGCCCTGACAGCTCAATGACAGAGTTCAGAAACCTTCCACTTTCAGTGGAATTAACACAGAGTAAAACAATCCCATTTTAAAGCATAAAACACTGGTTTGTTGTTACACAAGTGGTGACTAAAATACAATAAGTTGAATGATGTAGAACATGAAGCAATAAAATTAGGGGCTGGTTGCAGTGCTAAATTAAATCTGAGGATCTTCACCAAAGCTCTCACAGCCATTAGAAAGAAATTAGTTTAAAATGACAGAAATGATTTAAGATTTGATAATCCTCCAGGAAACCAGCCCCAGAATCAGCGCACACACACACACACGCACTCAGTTACCTTTACAAAGTTTGGGATTGAAGCTGTTTTTACAATATTTTCTTTATACAGTGAGCATGCGCTATAGCCTTTCCTTTGAGACACACCATTAAAAATTAGGCCAGTCTAGGCTACATTAGGATGTAAACTAAAATCCATCAAAAATCTGCAAAGAACATGCTGTTCACTCTGATACAAAACTTGAAAATAATTTTTTTTTTTTGCTTTGAGAGCTGTATAGGTGAAATTCGCTTTGTACACAAAATTTACCCATGTGATACCACCTCACGCTGAAATCTCCTTTAAAGCCACAGTAATTTATACAAACAGGTTCTTGACATACACTGGAAAGGTAAACTACCATTCCAGGGCCTCTATTCACAAAGCATTTTCCATTAATATATCAAAATAGGACTGAATATCGAGCTATGAGCTGAAACTAAGTCCAGGCCAACGTTCATCCTGTTGGTTCATTCCTGTAGCTCATGGTGACTTACCAGTACAGCACAGTCATCAGTGTATGTCAATTAAAAAAGTTGACCTAGATTATAAAAATTAATTTAATCACTGTAAGAAGACTCACATGGAGTTTTGTCTTCTGTTGTATAAAATGTCAGAAAAATGCCCCAACTATAACAAACATTTTGACAAGTGTTTAACAAACACATTTTCAACGAACTATTAAAATATATATATATAAAAAAAAAATAAAAACACACACTGGCAAACAGAGAGCAGATATTGCTATAGTTTGACAATTCCATATTAATGTTATAAAGTTTGAGGTTTCCAAGGATTTAATCTTGGTCATAGAGAGGGTAACAGTAAATTTAGAAAGATCACATCAAATGTGTGTCTGTTAGTCTGTCCAGTAAGCATGCTAACACTGCAAATCCTCTTGTCAACATGTTTGGAAAGATTTTCATGGAGCCAGACTTTCAAACGATTGGTATGTTCTTTAACATCTACTTAATGGACAAAGACATTTGGGTTGATTTTACTTCAGAAGCCCAAGAGCACTTTTCCATAACAGAATTATGAATTATCATCAAATAAACTTGCTAAGTTCTAAGTGAAACAATACTCTTATTAAACTGGTTGTTCAGGTGCAATTATTGGCTGCAAAGGCTTTGTGAATACGGCCCTGCCCTTCTTTTCACAGCATCAAAGACTACTGTGTGGTCTGAAAGAGTTGATAAAATCCCCTTGGTGTTACACTTAGGTTAGGACCAGCTCACTGTGTTTGGTAGCCAGCCATGCTGAAGTTAGCCAGGTTGGACATGACTGGACCGGGTGGGGCTGCAGCCTGGGCTGATGCAGATCCAAAGTTTCCCATCCAGGCTGATGACTGAGACTGCCTGCAAAGAGCCCACACATATATGACTAGTATGCCCAGGGTGACTGTGTGCAAAAATCTGCTGTTGTACAATAAATTAGTGCTCCTCAAATTGGAGGAAAGGATCGCCACTGTTAACTTAGATACAGTGTTTTAGAGTTAGAGAGTTAACGTCACCTCCATCATGATTCAGAGACATTTAATGCTGGGTGAAAAAAGAAAAATGTTTATTATAAATTAAGTGGAAAAAGTACCATAGAGTAAAACTCACTCGACTCCAAATCCTTGCTGGTTCCATGTCTGGCTGTACATGCTATAGGAGGGAACTTGCCAGCCGTTTGTGATGTACTGTCCATACTGCTGCTGTGGATTCCCATAGACCTGGTTCCACTGTCCCCAATGACTGTACTCAACCTGGATGACGCCAACGAAAAAAAAAAGGTGAACAAATGCCTTAAGTGACCAATTAGATGTTATTCTATGTTCAATCTGGGCCTAATAAAATTACAATTACAAAAAAAAAAAATAGCTGTACCAGTATCAGGCAACGGGTTCAATACCACCCTTTAGTACTAATACTTGTTAAAGTTGTCTGATACTATGCACTGATACCACTTCACGGCAACAGTAAGTCAACCTCCTACTGGTTGAACAGGTCATCAAGCAATGGAGAAGAAATGTTAGCTCTAGTTAATGTTAGATATAGCTAATGGAATATATGACTGGATCTGTAATAAACTTACAGGTTAAGACGTGGACTTTTATTTCCTGTCATCTCTAGTACAAGTATAAACATGCCCCCAGTTTTTCTTTAAAATAAATAAATAAATAAATAGATCCACCTACCTGCTGTGGATTTTTTGCCATGTCAGGGGATTCTTTTCCCCAGAAGCACTTCACGATGTGTCCTTCAATGGCTGTGCCATTCACTGAAACAATGGCATGGGCAGCACTGTCATGGGATGAAAACCTTAAAAGGAAAACAGCAGCTTAGCATTCAAATTTACCAAGCAGATTAAATGCAGTTCAGAAAATAGTAAAACTTCCTGCTAACTAATCCCTCATAATAGCATTAAGGTGAAGTCCTACACAGAACGATAACAGAAAAGGCCACTGACAAGAATTAAGGTATTAACTGGCTTGTCACTGAGTCATGCAAAGTGTTTGTGTTGACATCTACAGGTCAAATGCTACAGTGGAACAAGGCACTACCGGATAAAGGAGTATCCCTTCTCTGGGAAAACTCGGATTTCCATTATTTGACCAAAAGGTGAGAAGGTCTGTCGCATGAGGTGTTCTGAAAGAATTAAACAGAAAAAGATCAATATGGTTACTTCTCAGGCTATCTGAGGAAAGCATATGGAAAATAACAATAGCAGTGTGACTATGAAGAGAGACATCTTTAGAGAACGACAACTTGCCCGATAGTCCTGACTGGATGCCTCCACAGTACACGGTACAGTTCTGTGGGCTGGACTGAGTCACTACATCGTCAAACCTCAGCTGCTTTGAGCTATCTGAAATAAAAGCAAACATTTGAGAAGGAATGTTCCTACCTTTATACACAGAGATTATGCTTACAACCAAACCTAAGTCACAGTGGTAATTTATGACACCTTTAAAAGCCCTGCATACACTTATCCTGGCTGTTGAGACCTGTGCTCTGAATGATGCTGGCCATTACACAAGGTCACTGGACTCCATACACCAACAAGAATGATAAAGGTGTAATTTATAGTGTGTGTGTGTGCTACAAAATTCCCTGTGTGGGTATACAGTAGATGTGGAACGTAGTGAGACTTACTGTCCTGGGAACTCTTTGGAGCTGGTGGTTTACGTGTTGCCCAGTTGGTCCTGATTTGGCGTCCTCCAAGCCACTGTCCGCTCATGTTGATGATGGCATTCTCTGCATCCTAAAAATCCAAATCAAAAACAGTTATCCCTCTGGATTTGATGAATGTGTCATGTTTATGAGTGACCATAAGAGGTTCTTAAAATATACATTGTTTTTCATTGAAATATTATTCAAAGTGGTGATGGTAAACAAGAAACTATGTAAAGTTAGATCATTTAAATTGTTGTGACTATGGTTTTAACTACGATTAATTCTATTTTAACTACTGCAGATGCATTAAAGTAGGATAATAAACAGAAAATAACCTTCAGTCTGTGTTCTTGCACTGGAGCCTTACCAGTTTGTTGTAGAAGGACACAAATCCATACCCCTTTGATTTGCCTGTCGTCATGTCCTTCACA